GGAGCTATGAAAACCCTCTCTCACAAGAATGCTTCCCATTGATGCATCTGCTTGCTAAAAACAGCTTTCCACTTTAAAATCAGCAACATTCCTACTGGCCCTTTCTGCAACTATGGCCCCCTGGTCTCTTAAGGCTCAGTTTTCAATACTGATCATCTAATTATTTTCTCATTATGCTAATAACTCTCATCTTTAGTCTCTTCTAGCTCTAGAGTTCTCTCAAACATCTGCTCATCTAGGGATTCATCCCAATATTAAGTAAGCCACTACACTAATGTACCTGGATACAAATCCAATTTTTTAAAAGATGAAAATCAACATCCTACATCAATTTCCAAATGTATAGAAAGAATACATGTGCATTTTATGAATAGTGCATTCATGGCTAAATTATAGGAAAAATATGAATGGTGAACGGAAATCCATGATGCATGCGCTTTGACTATAAAAATGTTATATGCTTCGAAGATGCTACTTATCCCTATATTTGCACAGTAATATATACCATATGTAAATATTCCACTGGAATTCTCTTTAATTTTTCACCCTCTAGGATCTGTCAATATTTGTGCATTTGGCTAGAGCAGGGGTGTCAAACTCGTGGCGTCATGTTGTCATCACGTGAAGTATCATGACTTCCCCCCCCCCTTTTTTTTAAAATTTGATTTATATGCCGCCCTTCTCCGAAGACTCAGGGCGGCTTACAATGTGCTCAGCAATAGCCTTCATCCTTTTGTATATTTATACAAAGTCAGCTTATTGCCCCCACAAACTGGGTCCTCATTTCACCTACCTTAGAAAGGATGGAAGACTGAGTCAACCTTGAGCCTTGGCGAGATTCGAACCCTGCAGTAATTGCAGGCAGCTGGTCTTAATAAGCTTAACAACAGGGTGCCTTAAACCCCTGTGCTACCAAGGCTCTTTTGCTAAACTGGGGGTGGGCATGGCCAGCACTTGATGCATCTGGCCCACGGGCCATGAGTTTCACGTCCCTGGGCTAGAGTATTTGCCACTAAAAAGCTAATTTTTAGATCAGATAAAATTGTGCATATGTATAACCTGAATTATAATAAGAAAACTCTAGTATAGGTCACTGCATTTTTCTTCAAAAAATACAGTTCAGCTGAACATGAAGAACAAAGCACCAAACTAGATAATATAGGGAAAATACACACACACACACACACACACACACACACCATATAATTGTCAACCCTGAAGTGAACACGGCTGAGGCCATCTTTGAGGCTTCGGGGTTGCCACACAACAGAGGGAGAGGGAAAATAGTTAGATGGGTTTTTTTAGCCAAAACAATAAAGCTTTCCTGTGGGAACCAAGGACATTCTCACAAGTGGCTGGCCAGAGGAAGAGTGAAGTAACCAAGCAACCGGCCAGTTCCTGGATTGGACAGTGTGACCAGTGACTTGGGGGGAAAAGAGAAACTTTTAATTAGGTGAAAGCCATGGGAACTTTTAGAGTCGGCTTTCACCAGTCGTGCTAATACGATGTATAAATTAAAACTGTTATTTGAGGAATTTGCCTGCCTTGGAATTCTACTTTCTATGGGTGTATTACTTGGTATGCTGACAATAATAATTTAATATAATAACTAATAATATAATATAATAAATATAATATAATATAATATAATATAATATAATATAATATAATATAATATAATATAATATAATATAATATAATAATATAAAGTCAGGGTTCCAAGCAACACCCACAACTCCAAGGCAATAGATTTCTCAATGTTCCACTTTATTAGAGATGTCATGCTGGCACATCTGTGAAAACCCAAATCTGAAAACTTCCAGGTTTTTCCCACCCAGTTGAACATTCACAACCCTGCTCCACACCCACAAGTTCATCACATGGTCCAATCCATCCTTCAAGCTCAACTGGAAACAACCCCCAGTCACTCCCATCCAGGTGCAGGCAAATGTCCTTGACTCCCAGAACCAAGAATGTTGTTATAGCTATCTTTCCACCACTCCAACAAAAAAAACCAATTTCCCAGGCTAAAATATGTGGCAGTCAGGAAGCTAAAAGAGAGGGGGGAAAATGGCTTCCAAAACTGACAATAATATAATAAATATTTATTTATTTATTGGTTCGATTAATATGCCGCCCTTCTCCGGAGACTCAGGGCGGCTTACAATGTGTTAAGCAATAGCCTTCATACTTTTGTATATACCTGCTTAGTAGGGCTTTCGGGGCCCCCCAGGCGGTGTTCTTTTTTATACAAAGTCAGCTTATTGCTCCCACAATCCGGGTCCTCATTTTACCTACCTCGAAAGGATGGAAGGCTGAGTCAACCTTGAGCCTGGTGAGATTCGAACTTGCACTAATTGCAGGCAGCTGGTGTTACTTAACAGGTTTTTTTTTATTATTATTATTATTATTTGATTTATATGCTGCCCTTCTCCGGAGACTCAGGGCGGCTTACAATGCGTTAAGCAATAGCCTTCATACTTTTGTATATTTATACAAAGTCAGCTTATTGCCCCCACAATCTGGGTCCCCATTTTACCTACCTTAGAAAGGATGGAAGGCTGAGTCAACCTTGAGCCTGGTGAGATTTGAACTTACAGTAATTGCAGACAGCTGGTGTTAATCACAATGCTTTTAGTCTGCTGAGCCACCAGGCCCTGTACTGTACAGTACATCATATCATATCATATCATATCATATCATATCATATCATATCATATATCATATCATAATCATAACAACAACAACAACAACAACAACAACAACAACAACAACAATAATAATAATAATAATAATAATATAATATCATATATTTAATGAATACAGAGGATATCAGATGAGGAAAAAGAGCAAGGCTATTAAGGAAAACAGATAAGAAACATGATCTTGCTTTCTGTGTATTTTTGCAGATATAAATCACATGAAAACAAAGGGCTGTTAAACAGGCCGAAAGTGATAAACTTATGGATAATATGGCTCAGCTGCAGTACAAGAAATACCTTCTGCAGTTTTTTTAATCCATTTCTGTAGAAAATAATGTTAACAATGCCACATAAAATACTTCCTTATTTAACAGAATAGTCTGAGAAAAACCTAAACATTCAACACAGTAACAAGGCGTATAAAGCCACCCTGCGCTACGCGGTGACTTGTAACACAGGCTACAACCTTAATATGATAAAAAATGATGGCTGCTCAGCACGAGACCTCACGCTGAAGCTGCTGTTGCGGAATATATGCTTATATTATAATATATGCATATTTCTAAGGGCAGTTTGGAAAGAGGCATGAGACAATGCAAAATGTATTCAAGAGCATGATTTACACCTCTACGGGAGATAAGTAAAAGCTATGGTTTGAACTTCCAGATGTTCAGGTTTCGTTCTGCTTTTTTTGTGCCTACTCATCCTTCCAATTTGCTGTTGTTCGTTTATTGCAAGCAAGACCCATACAAAAGCAATACACAAAAGAGCTAAGCATAACCATATATACACTGTCCCAATTAAAATGATAAGAATATTTATGATGTGAATTTAGAAAGTATAAACAACACAACAAGAATTAATTACTTAGTTCCATATCCCCTAGTTTTGAAAAGACTGTTCTCCAGATTATAGGCTTCTGTTATATATGTCACTTTACTGTAGAATCTGACTAAAGTATTAATTCCATAGGTCAACCCTGCAATCCAAACCCACTAGAAATTAGTCTCATACATGCTTTTCCAGTACTGCCCAAAATTAGCAACAGACACGGTGCCACCTTTGTTGTTACACCCTGCGTTATCCACAGTTACAATATTGAGATCTGGATGAGGCAAGATCAGGGGTGAAATCCAGCAGGTTCTGACAGGTTCTGGAGAACCGGTAGCGAAAATTTTAAGTAGTTTGGAAAACTGGCAAATGCCACCTCTGGCTGGCCCCAGGGTGGGAATGGAGATTTTGCAATATCTTTCCCCCAGGAGTGGGGAGGGAATGGGGATTTTGCAGTATCCTTCCCCTGGAGTGGGGAGGAAATGGGGATTTTGCAGTATCCTTCCCCTGGAGTGGGGTGGGAATGGAGATTTTGCAGTCTGCCCCGCCCACCAAGCCCCACCCACCAAGCCCCACCCTCAGAAAGTAGTAAAAAAATTTGAACTTTACCACTGGGCAAGAATCATGTTTCAAGTTTCCTATGTTCGTGCCAGAAATCATAAGGCAACTAGTCAAAGTATTTGAGCACCCATAAGACCTTCAGTATTTGCAGGGTATGGTCCAAAAAGGAAATATGACTTTCATGATGGTACAATCAAAACTCTGCCTCTTTTTTTAATCTAACCTCACAATCCAGTGGTTCTCAACCTTTTCTTCACTACGAACTCTCTTTAAATACCTTTTGTAGCTGTGGATCACGGCCACGGACCCCCAAGACTTATCTCAAGATTTAAATCATAACATTTCCTCAAGCCTTTGCCGACCCTCTGCAATGACATTGACACCCCCCCCACAACAAAGTCTGTGGACCACAGGTTGAGAACCACTGTCATAATTTTTTCTACTGCAACAGCTGTTCCTTTACTATGAACTTCAGCTCTTTATCATTGTCTTCTGAGCACATTCAAACATGTTTTTTTTTATTTTTAGCAAAAAATTAATGATTCCTATCGTTACCTCCAATCAAAATCACCACGATTATGTTGAGCTGCCAACTCAGTCAACTCAGTGGTGGGTTGCCCCCGGTTCGGACCAGTTCGCAAGAACCGGTAGTAAAACCAGTGGGAGGCTCCGCCCACCGACCAGGACATCATCAGGAAGTTTCTGCACATGTGCAGAAGCTTCTGCGCACGCGGCCCCATTGCAAACCGGTAGTAAAGTTATATATAACCCATATAACCCATATAAACTATCCTCAGCATCGTAATTATGCTCCAGTGCATTCAGGTATAAATAAGGTGATATATTTTCTGGCACAAACAAAACCAAAAGTCTCAGGCAACTTTGATATTCTTCTAACAACATTACCTTTGCGAGAAGACGTCTCTGTAGGGGCTTCCATGTTGAAGAGCAATTCCGTATCCTCGATCTGCAATAGTATTTCCAATGGTGTAGAAAGAACAGTCTGGATCATTCAGAGCAACGTATTCCAAAACTGCGGCATCCCAAACAAAGGCGTAATTTCCATATTTGACCTGAAACCACAAAAGAAAATAAATGACCCAATTTTGCTTCGAATGTTTTGGGGGAAAAAAGTTAGGAACAGAAGCAATAATACCTTTTACAGGCTATTTTGAAAGAGTGGGAGGGTTTATAGCTTCATTTTCAGTGAAATGAAAATGAAAGATACCCCAGCTAGAAACCTGTTTCATTTATAGGCCACCTTATTTCATTAAACCTAAGCGGCCAACTGTAAAGGAAGAGTTAGACTAGCATAATTCATGCAATGATATGTGCTGTATGGGGAATTGTCCTTGATACTGATTCAGAAGATACAATTAATGCTGAATACAATGGCCAGGTTATTAATTGGCCTGTCAACTATATTAAAATATATACATGGGTTGCCTCTTTGTGACTAAACCAGGTTCAAAGTCCAAGGTATTATTAGATGAAGTTCTAAACAACTCAATTACACCAGCCCCAAAGCTATTACAATCTTCACGGAGCTACCATTTGGGATGATCAACGCAAATGTTAATTGAAGTGGCACCAATTCTGTCAATGATCTCCTCTCTGCTAGCATTCCAGTCCTAAGGATCATATGTTTAAGAGTTTAGAGAAGACCAATAAATAATAAGGAGAAACCTTATATTTTAAATCAGTGGTGAAATCCAATTTTTTTTTTACTACCGGTTCTGTGGGCATGGCTTGGTGGGCATGGCAGGGGAAGGATACTTAAAATCTACATCCCCACCCCACTCCAGGGGAAGGATATTGCAAAATCTCCATTCCCACCACACTCTGGGGCCAGTCAGAGGTGGTATTTGCTGGTTCTCCGACATGCTCAAAATTTCTGCTACTAGTTCTCCAGAACCTGTCAGAACCTGCTGGACTTCACCCCTGTTTTAAATAAATAAATATTGAAGTGCACTGTATGGGAAAGAATGTTCCAGCTAGGTAGTTTAGGTATATACTATACCTAAACCAAGGCCTACACCATTTCTGACAAATGGCAGTCCAACCTCTTCTTGAAAGCCTCCAGTGATGAAGCTCCCAAAGGCAACTTCTGTTCCATTGATTGATTGCTCTCACTGTCAGAAAATTTCTCCTTTATTTCTAGGTTGGGACCCTGGGACACTGTCATAAATACATGCCAGTTGCCAAGGTTGTTCTAGGTTGGGACCCTGGGACACTGTCATAAATACATGCCAGTTGCCAAGCATGAATTTTGAACATGTGACCACAGAGGTGTTACACTAGTCAAACGATTATAAGCCACTTTTTCCATTGATGTTGTAATATCGAATGGTCACTCAATGAATGCTTATAAATTGAGGACTACCTATACTAAGTATATACTATACTTTTCTTTCTTTTGCCACAGTCATTCCCCTCTATTTGCAGGTCTTTGTAGTTCATGATTTTCTCTGGTTCTGTCTCTTCTCTTCTCTTCCTGTTTCCAGCTATTGTAACTTCTATCCAAACTATTCTGTTTTTCTTATTGACAGTTGTTACATTTGGTCTGTTATTTGGCAGATGTTTGTCTGTTTGAATTCGACAATCCCAGAGCACTTAGCTTTTTCATTTTGTATTACTTTGTCTATGTTGTAGTTCATGCTTTCAGGCAAACCTTCTTCTTGTCTTCAGTGTGTTTGATGTTGTCAGCTTGAGGGATGCTTGGGTATTTGAAGTGATCCTCTTCATCCAGACCCTTGATGTAATTTCCATAGGGCATCTTGAGTCCTTCAATTCTCACTATTTTTCCCCAAGTTGATAGTGAGAGTAGCACATTTGTCCAGTCCAAACACCATTGCAATGTCTTGGCTGTATATAGGGGATAGTATTGAGCAGGAATTCAATTTCAGATGGTGTTTTTCTATGCAGTTTCAAATTGTCCATGTAAATGAGGTGGGATAGCATAGAAGATTTTTTGATGTTTCATAGCCATGGACAGGGGTGAAATCTACTAACCTTCCCAACCGGTTCAGAAGTGCGACCCTCTGCGCATGTGCAATCCCTTCTGCACTTGCACAGAGGGTAAAACACAGTTTACTTCCTGTGTAACCTGGTTAAAACCAGGAAGTAGCGCCGCCATCGCTACCAGTTCTCCGAACAACTGGCCGCCATCGCTACCGGTTCGGCTAGGCTGGGCTGAACCGGAAGCATTTCACCTCTGGCCATGCTCCAACCTTATTCAGTCCTATTATTTCTAGGCACTTGATCCCCAAATCATGCGGTAAGGAATTGGTTTTCCTTCTCTTGCACTTTTCCAGAATCATATCAATTACGAGCTGATCTTTTATTCCTCCGCTGTTTGAATAGTTTCTTTTCTGCTCAAGTGGAAAAAGCTTGTTTTCAACGATATTCTATTGGACTCCATCGAAGTGTTCCTCTATCTAAGGGCTGCCACAAAGAAGAGGGGTTCAATCTATTCTACAAATCACCTGAAAGCAGGACAAAACGAAATGGATGGAAACTAAGGAATTTGTTTCAGTAGATTTGTAAGAAAAAAAAAATGGAGCTGTTCTGTATTTAAACCTCCCGTCCAAAACTGACTGATGACTTTGGCAGATACTGTATTTTTCAGACTATAAGACACACTTTTTTTGTCTCCCAAAAGGGAGTGGAAATGTCTGTGCGTCTTATAGACTAAATATTGCCGAAACTTCATCCACCCACCGGCCGTTTTTTGGCCCCTGCATGCTCAGTTTTTGAGGCTTTTTTTGGCCCGTTTTCAAGGCTTTTTTCAGAAAAAACAGGCCAAAAAAAGCCTCGAAAATGGGCCAGAAAAAGGCCCCAAAAAGGGCCCCCAAAAGGGCCAAAAATGGGGTGTGCAGAGGCCAAAAACCTTTTTTTGTTGTTTTCCTCTTTTAAATTTAGGTGCGTCTTACAGTCAGAAAAATACGGTATATTGGGATGAAACTTTACAGGGAGTTAAGATTTTGATATTAGGAAATTATGCCCCAAATGAAATAAATCAGCATTTTATAAGAAAATGTATGCATAAACTTTTGGAATTTTTATATGAAAATAGGTGTTTCCTTGGAGGTTGGAATGGTGGTTTCTCGATGAAAAGGTTCTGAGAAAAATATGAAAGTTAAAGACATTATCTACATTTATTTCTGACAGGAAGCCTCTTATGGACTATTTTGTGTAAAAATGAAAAAAGTGAACGTGTCTTACAATTTTGGTGAATTGCAGGATAGATTATAGAAAGAAAGGTAATATGATGTATTTTTAGAGTGAGAAGTTAAAATATATTTGTACTTACGACTGCTGTGACAAATATCAGAAGCCACTTTGTTTTCTATTTTTTTTAACTTTGTTTCCTTTCTCACACTTTTTGCTTTTTATTTGATTTATTCTTTTCCTTGCTTACTACCTATTAGTTTTTTGTTAGTTTTTACCTACTTTTAAAAAGTTTTCTTTTTTTTTCTTTTAAATATAAAGAACAAGCATCAATGCAGGCAACCTTATTCTGATGACTTTGTGCTGTTCTGATGTTCAATTGTTCTCTGTCTCCATTCCTCATTTTTAGAGGGCTTTGTTCTTTCTGAAGAAGAAAGAGTGCCTTGTTTGATATTAAAGATGATTCAATAGCTATGTTGGCTTCCTCCACCACTGACTCCCCCAGGTTTGCCTCTACAGTCTGAGCTACTTCTAGCAAGTCTTTGATTTCTTTGCCCTGGTAGACCTTTGCCTCTTCCAATTCTGCTTTTGTGAATACTTTATTTCATATTATAAATTGATGTTGATCTGCTAGACTCCGTTCTGTTATTTCTTGATTCTGGATGTAGTTCTTTCCAGAACTGGCACATTCTTTTCAGGTATCTTCTTCTTGTTGGACTTGATTGGTAATACAGCTCATTATTTCAACCTTTCTATATTTGCAACAAATAAACAACTTTTCTTCTAGTAATCCTGCAGTTACTGGCCCTGATTGATCAGCCAACAGTCCTAAGTTCTACATCCCATTTGTCACTAGATGTCTTTGAAAACTAACACATCTCAGTGGTGGGATTCAACATTTTTTACTACCGGTTCTGTGGGCATGGCTTGGTGGGTGTGGCATGGCTTGGTGGGCGTGGCTTGGTGGGCATGGCAGGGGAAGGATACTGTAAAATTTCCATTCCCACCCCACTCCAGGGTAAGGATACTGCAAAATCCCCATTTCCTTCCAATCAGCTGGGACTTGGGAGGCGGAGAATAGATGGGGGCAGGGCCACTCAGAGGTGGTATTTACCGGTTCTCCTAACTACTCAAAATTTCCGCTACCGGTTCTCCAGAACTGGTCAGAACCTGCTGATCTAGCCTGGTCTTTGACCTGGCCAGTGACCAATCCAGTATGAGTTTGTGTAAATTACGTCTCACCATAATGTTTATGGGAGAGACACTCTTTGTCTTGGTCCTCTGATGAGACTCATCTTCTTCAGAGCACACAAACCCCAGAACCATATCAAGATAGTGCCTGGGATTATTAATTATTATTAATTCAATGTTTATGACTACTTACAGTATATTACTGTATAAGATGATACTTTTTATTTAAAATATTTATCTAAAAATGGAGGGACATCTTATACATGGGGTGTCGAGAGGAGAACCGCAATTACGAAACTGCCGATATCTTATCTCTGCAAACTAGTGTCACGAGCAAAACTTCCGATTGCTTAAAATATTGATTTCTGAATTTTGGATAAGAAAAGTGTGGGGTGGTGTCCTATACATGGGGTCATCTTATAGATGGAAAAATATGGTATCTAAAAACTGTGGTGGAGCAGTGGTTAGAATGCAGTATTACAGGCTAATTCTGCCAACTGCCAGCAGTTCAATTCTCACCGGCTCAAGGTTGACTCAGCCTTCCATCCTTCCCAGGTCAGTAAAATGAGGACCCAGATTGTTGGGGGCAATAGGCTGACTCTGTAAACCGCTTAGAGAGGGCTATAAAGCATTGTGAAGTGGTATATAAGTGCTATTGTAAATACTAAGTGACTCTGAATGGCTCACAGGATTATATAGGCTGAACAAGATG